GGGCTTGGCTGGCCTCAACTGCAACTTAAGCTTAAGCCTCGCTGGAGCTTCATCCCGAAAAAGAGAGAGAGCCAGGAACTCCAGAATAATCAGAAGAGACCTGCAGCAGAGAAAGGAGTGGGGCCTGAGGAGAACAACTTTGAAGAACACCAAGGTCGGTTGAAGAAAGGAGAGGGGGGAGGAGGAGGAGGACGCAGAGCCCAGGTTCCCATTTTGCAACCTGTGGCAAGAGCCAGGTCAGCTGCCTGCAGCCCGTAGAGTTCACCGGTGGGGCAGGGCCACCTGAGCAGTGGCTGCTCCTGAAGAAGCTGTGACTCTGGGCAGTGTGTGCTAGAGCAGTTCATGTGTGAGGGAGCTGTGACCATGAGCAGACCCAGACTGGAGCTTTGAGGACTTGGGCTGAAGCAGTTTTGTCCATAAGGGAAATGCACAGCTGTGGGCAGACCCACACTTTAGTGGAGGGAATGGTGCCACATGGAAGCAGAGGGAGGCTGGGAGGAGTCCACCCCTGCCCCTAAAGAGAAAAGAGTGGCAGAGACCACACGGGATAAACTGACCGCAGCCCCCATTCCTATCGCCACTGTGCCCCTAGGAAGGAGCCGTGAACAAAGCTGAGCCGAGGAAGAAGGGAAAGGTTGGGAGGAAGATGTTTGACTTTAAGATCTGGTTGTATCTCTCATTGTTCTACTCTGATGCTTTTGGTAACAAAATTAAAATTGTTTTGTTTTTCCTCCTGTGATGTGTCTTTTGCCCATGACCACTGAAGTGGTGAGAAGCCCTCCCAGTCCTTTTTTTGTCTAGACCCTTTCTGGGGCATCATGGTGCTCAGTTGCACACCGGGCCTAAACCACAACAGCAACTGACATCATCTACCTGCACTTGTGCAAAGCACTTTACACTGTCCCACATGACATACTGGTCACTAAACTTGAGAAATGGGATATGATGGACAGATCACCCGCTGGATGAAGAACTGGCTGGATGGTCACACTCGGAGTTGCGGTCAACGGATCAATGTCAAAATGGAGACCACTGATGAGTGGCGGTCCCCAGGAATTGGTACTAGGACCAGTACTGTTCACCATCTTTGTTAGCAACACAGACAGTGGGATCAAGTGCACCCTCAGCAAGTTTGCAGATGACACCAAGCTGTGTGGTGTGGTTGACACCCTGGAAGGAAAAGATCCATCCAGAGGGACCTGGACAGGCTGAAGAGGTGGGCCCATGCCAACCTCATGAAGTTCAACAAGGCCAAGTGCAAGGTCCTGCAGCTGGGTAGGGGCAATCCCAAGCACAAATACAGCCTGGGTGGAGAATGGCTCAAGAGCAGTCCTGAGGAGAAGACATGGGGGTGTCAGACAATGAAAAACTCAACATGAGACGACAAAGTGCGCCTGCAGCCCAGAAGGCCAACAGCATCCTGGGCTGCATCACAAGAAGTGTGGCCAGCAGGGCAAGGGAGGTGATTCTGACCCTCTACTCTGCTCACGTGA